GGGGTTTTATCACTAGGTCAAACTTGTCTGCAATGCACATTTCTTCCCTTCCTGGTTTTTAATGCTTGTCAGGTAGACTGCATAGGTTTGGGAAAAATCACCATAAATATCCAACAAAACTCAAACTTGTCCCCAGATGAGACTGAGTCTTAAAAAGCAGATAGATGCTGAGACTCAAATTATTTTGACAATCCTAACCAGTCCTTATGTATTCGGATGTGGGATTTGCACAGGATGCAATTGAGTAAGCTTGAGTAGAAAACTTCTACATCCTGATCTCTGGGCCCCCCCTCTTGGCCCCAGAGACCACTGCCAGAGTAACCTCAAACCTCTCAGTGCTCTTATTTTGGGCTTGGTGAGGGGCACCTGGGAGGGCCACAGCATGGGATGGCCAAGCAGGGCCATGGAGATAGAGCTGGGCTGGGACAGAGCTCAGTGTCCATCAGCATCACTGGGGCTGGGACACAGCCCAGGCTGGGCTGCAATGGGCCGCTGGGCCAGGCAGGCTGGGAAGCCCTCAGGTGCTGCTGATCAGACTCACTGAGGCACAAAAACGTCCTCAGAGGCTGGGTGTGTGTCTGGAGGAGTGTGGCAGCAGAATGTGTGTGGGCCCTGCCAGGAGCCAGGCAGGAAGAGCAGCACCCAGGAACCTCTCTCAAGGGACAGGGCCCCCCTGTTTGGGCTGGGGTCTCTGTGAGCCTGTGCTGGATGGGGAACAAAGTCTTCGTGCTGTGAGAGACCGATGGAAATGCTCCCCTTCAGTGGGCCAGGGCACAGCCTCAGCAGCCACTGGGCACCTCACGGCGAGAGGATGGCACCGATCCCTGGGGCAAAGCTGGTGGCTGAGCGGGCTTTGACATGACAGAGTCACAACGAGCTCCCTGTGCCTGTGGCAGCTGATGAATGAAGTGAGCAGGCACTCTTACTTGGTGTTCTGCTGGTCAGTGTCCTGGTGAAAGGCAAATGTGAGTACACACCAGCAGGGAAATTACTGTCTGTGCATCTGTAAGAATTTATATAGCAAGGGTTGTGCTTGTTGGGCCAGGAAGGCATGGACGTGGCCAAATCCTGATCTCAAATGCACGTGCACAGCTCCCAAGGCAGCAAGGCTTCATTGTGGCTCAGCACTTGGCCTAATGAGGGCTTGCATGATTGCAAATAATGTGCGTGGCTCACTGGAGGGTGAGCAAACAACAGTTCCCTGTGTTGCTGTGCTCTGCTCTGCAGCATCTGTTTTGCTTCATCATTTTTTAAAAGAAAACCACAAATATTTATCCCTAGGGAGTTGATAAATAACAGTGCTTACATTTAAAAAAAAATTTAGTGGGGATAAAAGTAAATCTTCTAGTGTATAAAATCTAGTGTATGCTTTGATTTGAGTATTAATTCACAGATTGTCTCTTATTATGTTGTTCCTAGCTCAGTAAATCTTATGGGGTTTTCTCCCTCAGGAAATCACATAGGGTGATGTCTTAGTGTGATTTATTTTTATTTGTATGTCTAAGTTTGCACAGAATTGTCTTTCACAGCAGCATTTTTATACGAAGATTTGTATTCCTTGGAAAATTTGGCAAACTGGGGAGTATTTAATAATTTGTCAATGAAACTTTAAATGAAATTTGTTGCAACTTTGAGAATACACATGATGAGTGTGATCTGGTAAACTAAGTAGATATTTTAAAAAACAAAGCAGGGGAAACAGCATACACATGTAAAATTGAAGAGAGAAGTCTGAGCTCTCTGCTATGGAGGGGCTCCCTCTGTGTCAGCCCTGTGGTTTCACTTGGAAAAGCAGAACAGAAAAACCCTTCTTCTTCTAGAAGCTGGTGGCATAAGCACAGAAAGATGTTCACCTCTTCTGGAGAGAGGAAGTGGTCTGTAATAACTATGTGTTTGATAGATGCATCTGCTTGCTTGGTTAGGATGGGGACTGCTATATTTTTACCTTCCTTTATGGTTATAAGCTGATGGTGAGCTCTGCAGTGGTGTTTGGAGTGAGCTGTTGTGTGTCTGAAGTTTTAAGCCCTTTTTTTTTTTTTTTTTTTTGACTTATTGGTTTAGGATTGACCTTTCTAAGTTTATTGAAATAATGTGATTAGGTGAAAGACAAGATTCAAATAACATTAGAAAATACCAAGAGACAGAACCTTGTTTGGGAAACAAAAGAAAAAAGGGCTATACCCAAAATAAAAAGGGCTATACCTAAATAAAGAGAAGAGTACATGAAACAAAGAAGAAAAATGGACCTTGAGATCTGTGCTTTTTCTAAATGAGAAAATAGTTGTAGCAAATGCACCCCGTACATGCATAAGCCCTGCTCCCGAATCCCCAAAACAAACAGATGTGCAAAAATCAACAGAACACACTGACACATACACATTCCCCTACCATTTCACTGACAATTTCTCAATATTGCTGCTCTGTATCAAGCAGTTGAGGCAGTATTGCAATGCACTGGCTGCAGGGATATTTTCTGATTTTTGAATAGGTGACCAGAAAATAATGTGATGATGGGTCTGAATGTGATCCCTGTTATGAAGAATTGTAGAAGTTCTCCATTCCATTCAAGCCTTGTTATATGAACTTGATAATGGAAAACATTTTACATTTCATGACAGCATAGAAGTAATTTTTATCTACTAAGATAAAGGTGTATCATGATACAAATATTGTTGAAGTGCCTGAATGTCTGTGTGCATGTAGGCACACAATTTGTGGTGATTGGGATGGGGCTGTGGGAGCCTCATCCCCATGGGCACAGCTGTGAGCAGCAGGTGAGCAGCACTGACACAATGAGCCATGGAGTGCCCAGGGGCACTGAGCAACCACCAAAGGGAGCAGAGGGCACACAGGTGCACTGCATCAACATGAGGGGATAAAAGGCTGGGCTAAAGAACAAGCAGGGAGGATGCTGGTGGCCTTCTGGAGTGGTATGGTACTTTCTTTTTTTCTCATAATCTTGAAAATGCAAAGTCTCATTTGCTAAGCTAAAAATTATAATCTTGTCCATAGAGCAATGATTTTAGATGGGAAAGAAACAGATTTTGGCTCTGCCCAACAGAAACCTTACAAGTCATGTTTAGACTGGACACAGGAACAGGTTTATGGCCAATGTTTACAGACCTGCTTTGACTTCTCTACATTGATGTCAATGCTTGTTATTACAAGCTGCAATTTGAAGGTTGAAATGTAGAATACCAAGGGGTTTAAAGTATACTTAAATGCATGTTTACAACTTCAATTCGTATAATTCCTGAAGATTTATATCTTTACAAGAGCCTGAAATAATAATGAGCCTTTGGACCACTTCTGCCTTGTAGAGAGGCTCTTAGTTTAAAATTGTACCATTTTCAACATGATGAAATTAATAGTGGGTAGCACAGCTCTAGGCACCACAGCTGCACTGATGTGTCTTCCAATATTTATTATTTAGTGTACATTTTAATCTTGGCCCCTGTTAAAAGAATATTTTATGTCCTGTTACTCAGAGGCCCTCTGAAGAAGAAAGAAATACTGGAATGACTGCCAGCAAAGTCCTGTCAAATCTGTAGTCAGCAGTTTACATCTAAAATACTGTCTAAATTGTGATTTAAAGCTTGTGCAAAAGAATGTTTGTTTGTTTTCAAATTTGTTAGAGACCTCCTGTTGCTCTGTGCTTTTGGGAAATCAAACATTTCCCAAATTAAAAGCATATAGGGAAAGTCTTAGATTCTTTTGTTTTCTATGAAAACACATATTTAAAAACAATGTGGGATTAACACAGTGTGTGTTGGAGCAAATTGTTAGTATTGCCCATGTGTTTTTCTCCACTATTACAATGAACTTAACCCCCAGAGAGTATTTCATGCATAGCCATTAGGAGAAAAACACAGGGTGGAAAGCCCAAAATTTAAGTGTAGACATGATAAATTAAATGCAAGGCTTTGCCAAACAAAAACAAGCCCTAGTGTTTGTTCTATTCCATACTTCCAGTGCAGCAGTGGTGTGTACATGGTATGTGCTGGCTGGCAATCAGTTATCAGTAAGTGAAATATTGTAGGTATTGCATAGGAGTTGAATTTCAGGGATATCTCTACCACGATAATTTTTGTTCAGGATGTTATTGCCTCCATTGCTGTATGGGGCCAGGGGAGTAAATTTTATTTTGCAATAAGTGAAACTGGATTCCACTGCTGTGCTCTGTGCATGCTGATTTTCAGTACAAGTTTGGATGCCAGGGTGACGATCTTGGAGCTGGGAGTTCTGGAGCTTTGCAGTGTTGATCAGCTTCTCCTGTGACATAACCAGATCATCAATCAAATGATACATCAGGAGAGATAAAGGCATGTTCTGTCATGGGATAACCTTGTCAAAATAATTGAACTAACTTGGCAGAAAATTTAGCCTTTAAACCACTCCAAGATAAGCAGTGAAGTGTAAGGAAAACTTTATCTTGCAGTTGACTTTTGGGCTGGAACTGAGCTAAAACTTGGAATATGCCTTTAGCTTTTTAAAAAAAATTTATTTCATATGTACTTTTCTAGTATCTTGACACTTTTGTGGTTCAGTTCCACATTTAAATCAAATGCATATTTCTGGGTCACAGTACTGAATGTTGGCATTTTGGTACTGATTTGTCAAGCACTTATTTGATGTGCACATTAATGGTGAATCCCTCATGAAAAGAATTGTAGGAGCGCATCCCTTGGTAGAATGTTATCTAAGCTTAAGCAGCAAGTACAGCGTATTTTTTCCAATAAATGTTTAAAGTCTTCTTTGATTAACAGGATATTGAATCACAAAGATTGACGATTAAAAAAAATTTGAGCAACTATAGAATTTGCAGGGTATAAACTGTACAGATAATGTACATTTTCTAGAATCAAGTGTTCATGTCAGACTCTGTACATGGTTTGCCTCCATGTTGCTGAGTTAAAGATAAAAACACAGTTACTTGTAGGGTTAATGAGAAACAGTCTAAACACACAGTGTGAAGAACAAGTTAAACTGACACTTATTTAAAGTTATTTTGTATTGTTTTAATATTTTCAGTATTTCAAAATACAACCACTCTGATGTAGACAGCTCTGTGAAAAAGGTTACTGGTTTTGCAGATGTGTTAGACAGAAAGATATTGAAAATGTATTATTTCTTTTGAAACAGAACAGTGCATATCTGCTGTGTACTCTCATGTAAAATGACAGATCACAGTATAGAGAGCCACCATAGATAAGCAGAGAAAATAAAAAATACCAGAAACACAATTCTTCAGAATTTAACATGTAAAAATGGCACTGTATAGTACAGTCTAGTATACAGAGTCTGCCTTTCTACTGCTTCTTTCCATTTGTATCTAGAATAATCACATCACAGAAATCAGTTTCAACACTAACAATGCTTTGGCAGGTGACATTACATCTCAGGGTCACTTATTTATGTCCTGCCTTTGAAAGGCATCCTGCAAATCGTAGACATGGCCTCACTTTATAGGTGCTGCTGTGCAGAAAGAGGGCTTTGGGTCTGGAATCTTGGTTCTCACGCTTGGAGAGCTTTTTACAGTACAAAACAAAATCCTTAGAGAAGCTTAAAAATTACTTAAATTACTATAAACTTGTAAAAACAAAGTTATTTTAGATCATTTAGTATTTCATAGATGATTTAAAAATTAAATAGCACTACTGTAATACATATTTTCACAAAATTAATTTATTTCTGTTTTGTTTTCTAGTTTAGCTGTTTTGGGGTTTTTTTTTGGTGTAGTTGTGTACTATATGATAAACTAAGCATGAGGAAGATTCAGGCTTAGCTAAGCAGGAGGAGGATTCAGGCTAGGTATGCAAAGCTCATCTAAGCCCATGGGCAGTATGTTGTTTCCCTTTCCTGGGCATATAATTATCTGATGAATTTCAAGTGCATAATTCAAATTTTTTTTTGAAAGAAAAGTCAATAGTAGCAAAGTGGCTGTTAGTATCTTACACACATCTGTTAACTTCAACTTTTCTATTTATTCATTCAATTTCACAGAAATGTCCAGGTTTGCATTTGCTTGAGAATATGAGCTGGAGATGGTTGAAATTCTCAGTAATTCTAAGTGGACTTGAAATTCTCTTTCAGCATTTTCTCTTATTTTTTTTCATTATTTTTAATTATTTAGCTGACTTTGGTTCAAAAAACAAAATGCAAAAAAATGTTATTTAATGGTGGGCTTAATTATCTTTACAATTTTGTATTTGTTCAGCAACTGTCTTTGCTTTCCATCCTATTCCAACAATTCTTCACCTCTGATCACTCATGATAAAGCTCCAAGGTATGGCTCTGTCTGCTCTCCTGCCCCAGAGCCTTTGCTTAATTGTAGCCTAACAACACTGCCAGTACATAAAGCTGCCAATACACAAAGCTGAGGAATAACTAATATACATGGAAAATAAGTTATGCATCAGATAAGCTATAAAAATTTCACAGTACCAACCTTCTAACTGCTTTTCACTTTTTTTGCAGTATGTGACACCGTAAGGCAAGGTATGAAGTGGAGTTTACTAGGGATATGCAAGACTAAATTCTATTTTATTTTCATATAAATTAGAAATGGCAAAATCCAATCTACCATTCTTTTCACTGCCAACTCCTCCTCCCCTCCCCAATCCCTTCTTGTTATCATATCTTATTATCATCAGGTTCCCTTCTGGAACCTGATGCTGTTTCCACTGCAGCCATGGTACAGTGTGGTGCTGCTTATATTCTAAGTGGATATATTTACACTGAATACTCGGCTACAGGCAGCCTGAGTCAGGCTGTTCAAGGCCATTACACATAACACAATGTGATCCTGTATTTAACACAGTATTCTAAATAAATAAGTCTCTAAAATTAAATATAGTTTCTAAAAGGTTAATCCTAAATTTGGCTTCAAACTCCAACATGTATATAGGAAAATTAGCAATTTGCTGAATCTCCACTCCAAGTAAACTTCATTAGCTTAGTCTGTTCTGGGATACAGAAATGAATTACAGCTAGCTGGGTATCCTCTCCAAGAAGAATTGCTGACACAACCTGCTCATGTCAAAGATTTAAGGGAGAGCTGAGTTAGGATAGTGGTTAAAAGTAATGAGGAATAGTGGTATAAAATGTTACAGCATTACACAGAAATACTTTAAGGATGATATTGCCTAAGGTGTGTATATATATATATATATATATATACACATATATATATATACATAAATATAGCTGTAGTTATACAGATAAGAGTCTAGTACTTACAACAACACAGAAACAGGTCTTTTTGCTTTGGGTGCTTAACACAGAAGTGGAGATGACTTTCACAATGACATTTATTGGTGGCCTGTATGTTTTTAGTAATACTTTAGACAGTAAACGTTGTCATATAATCGAGGTAAACTTCTACAATATAAAACTGGCTATTGAAATAGAAAGCATTTAACGTCCACAAATCACAAATTATAACTGCACGAAAATATTGAAACGATGCCTAGTTTTTGTTACCTAACTTGCCAGCTACAAAGCTGAAGCTCGTGGCACTAGTCCACTAAAAAGATCACACAATGCTCTTCTCAGACATGATCTGATCTGTCCCTATCCCTCGAGTGTCCTGCCACATCTGCAGAGCTTGCTGGTGACACTGAGCTTGACAGCTGAGTTGGAGGATTGAGGGTTTGTTAGTTCAGCCTTGGCTGGGAGGTCGCTGTGGAGGTGCACTCAGTGATTGATAGAACAGCCCTCACTTTGCACTAAGCTGAAAGATTTATTCCTTTTTTTTGTGTATGTTTTCCCCCTCAATCTGTTGCAAAACCAAAATTAAATATTTGCATTTAACAATAATATTTACAAATTCAGTAAGTCACTCTTTTAGGCCTTCAACCACCTTCCCCTAAGGATTTGTTTCTCCTTTCAATGGCAAATATTTCCCTGGGAATACCTGCACTTTAGTATACTTAAAAAGGAGGTCAGGTTTATCAAAAGAAACCTTTGATGAAGATATTCAAGCAAAACTAGAAAACTTACTGTATTCTTTGCTGCTGTCACAGTTTCAAGTAGACAATGGAAACTATCAACTAAATAGTAATGCTGGTAAGGTAAAGGACTTTTGGTTTTGTGGTTGTTCTGCAAACTGTTGATTAACAATGTAAACATGAGGGACTTATTAGGTTAAGAAGCCAGATTAATTCCCACTGTATCTGTAGTGGTTTTGTTGGAATTTGGGCTAACCAGTGTAGATTATACAATATGCTTTAGGATGGGCATACAATGGGCAAGCAAGTAGGGAGTAGAGCAAAAAACATGAGTAATATAAAGTACTATTGCACAATGAATAGAAATATATATTATGCATGTACATGTCAAATATGTAATTTAGTAATTATTCAGCAGCAAAAAAGGTGTTCAAATAATGAATTTGAAATGAACAGGAAGTGTAATGCCTGTAATTTAGGGTTATATGCTGTTCCCCTTAGTACTGACTTGGGTTCCTCACAACAGGAGAGTACAAGGACAGACTAAGAGTTTGTACTATTTTACTTTGGTCATCGCAGGAATGAAAAGCACTGTGGATACTCTTTCTAAAAATAACTGCATACTACTGCATATTATTAATTCTAACTTTGCATGTTTTAAGGTAATGGGAGTTTGTTCTTAAATGTCTATAGCCAGTTTTCTTTTGATATTAAGAGGGCTCAATCCAAAGTTCCCCAAAGATGGCAAAGTCATAGAGAGTTTAATCTTAATCTTACTTAGCTTAATCCTTTGCTGGCATGGTAGGTCCTTGCACCAAGAATATTCTGGCCATCTCCTACCTGTTCTTCAGTAGGAACCACATGGCCAAGGATCCCCAGCGAAGAGCAGACTGTCCCCTCTGCATAGGTGGGCAGGGGAGTGTAAGGCTCAGCAATAACGTGTTTCTCAGCACCTGCCTTGGTTGCAGATACATGATGGAAGTGGTGTGGGTGTCCATCCTGTGGGCTCTTCCCTTAGCTGTCAGGTTGGGGTCTGAGGGTGTTGTGTGCAGCATCTAGTAGTTCACAGTAACTCTGCGCTCCAAGGAGTTCACTTCCTGCTGCTACCCTGTTAGAATTGCTGGAGAGTTTTATCTCTAGGTTCTTTTCAGTATCTGCTGATTTGCTCTTTTTTTTTTTTTTTTTTTTTTAAGGAGCTAGCATATTTGGCAGCTGATGAATGTTTCCTTACTCCTTAGAACAAAAATTTCCCTGCTTTATTTAGGAAAACTTTCCTCTCTACTTTCTTTGCCTATTGATTCAAGGTCTGTGCTGGCCACAGAGCACAGCAGGTGTAATTCCTTCCTACCTTTCCTCCAGTAACACAACTGACTGTGCATGCTCCTGCTTTTTCACATGGCACAGGCAGATGCACCAGTAGCTTAGGATACAGACCCTCTTAAAACTGCAGGATCTGGCATGAAATGATCAAGATAGTAACCAATGGCTTTGATTTTTATGTCTTCTCTTTGAGATGGCTCTTGTAGTAATGCAATCAATGTTTTGCAAATGAGCTCCCTGTTGTGGTCACTGAGTTTCAGTGACCAAAGGGATGAGCAGGTGATGAGAAAATGCTCGGTTAGATTCTGTCAAAGAAGTTACTGGCTTCCCAGATGGACAAGTTTGTGTTTTATTTATAGAGGTGTTTTGCCACAAGTAGGGATCTTCAGATCCTTCAGGTGGCAGGGAAGTGTTGCTGTTTCTATCTGTAACAACTTTTGAGATGTAAAGCAAATTTGTGGCTGCATCCAGCAGGTGGCAAGCACAGCACGCAGAATCATGGCTGGACAGAGAAGCTTCTGCCAGGAGAAACTCCCGATGCTGCTCAGCATGTGCATGTGTGTCCATTAACAAAATATACAGATAAATGGCAATCTCTGCCAATCCTTTGTCAGCTTAGAGGGTGCTGGGGCACTGGTCCTCTTCTGGGTGCTATTGATAATGCATGGGGTTTTTGCCATATTCAATTTAAGCAAATGGCTGTCTCACATGTAAGGATTTGAGCTAATTGGAAAGTATTCAGTATAACAATTTAAATATTTCTTTAAATTACATAGTTAAATGATGTTCAGGCTTCAAAAGTCAAGATACTACCTTGCAATGAAGTTTAACTTAAAATTTTTAATGAAGGAGAGTTTTTTGTATCATACAGCTTTAGAAGTTGTGACTCGTCACAGTGCCTTGCAATGTACGAGTAGACACATTGTTCCCACTTTTGCAGCTGGAAGAAAAAAGGCAAAACTGAAAAAAATTTCCCTTACTATAAGTGAATGAAAGAGTAGGAAGATTTCTAGACCTGTTTGTAGTCGCCTTTTTTCCTTAAAAAGTATTAAACCACAGAAATAACTGTTTTATTGTGCTTTGATTTTGATCATCAGAAAATATGGATAATCCAACCACTCACTACTTGAGACAAAGCCACATTAGACATATGATTTTGAAAATTATAAATACTGTAAATTCTCAAGGGGCATGCAATTTTCTACATTATATATGTAAAGGTTTGGATATTTTTTTAAAGTTTTGTAGTGTCAAAAAGTACTTATGAACTCATCTTTGAGGACAATAAATGGGTGGAATCAGACATAAATATTATCTGAAGCTTGTTATTTAAGAGATAAAGGACACATATGAGAATATCATTGATGGAAACTTCCCACAGTGCTTGTCACCTTTCCTCTTGATTTGTATTGAGAATTTGAGCCAGACTTTAGTTCTGATTTATGCTAGTATAAATCTGAATTTGTTCCATATAAATAAAAAAATGTTCTACAGGGAGAAAATACCCTGGGCATTATTTTATATAAATGGAGAGAAATCCCATAAAAGCCAAGAGTAAAGTTTGATCTCGGATGTTTTGTGATGGGACTAAAAGTATTTTTAGTTAAAATGATAGATAAGCATTGTCCCATTTTTGTTTATCAGTATATGAGTTTACCAAATGTGCAGGAATTAAATTTTTTTTACTTTTAATCATACAGATTATGGAGTCAACTCCCTCTGTATATAAAGTTCTTCAAAGTGAGGGTGGCTTATCATGAGGAAATGCTGAGTGAACCCCATTTCTGTGTGCACATACACAGTTATTTTTAATCTACTACAAAAATAGTCACTGGGATATAAATGTATATTTCTGAAGCAATGTTTGAAATGTATGAGTAGAAATATAAATCTAAAAATATAGTTATTCTATATTTAATAAATAACTCTGCATTTTATTGCATATATTATTATGAAAAAATTGCCATTAAAAAAAATAGTAGCATAAATCAGAGTAAGACCAATTTCAAGGACCTTAAATTTCCATTTGAGTTTAAAATTGGGCCTCTATATATAGCATATATTTGAAAATATATTATAAATATGATTATAGGACATTTATGTAATTAAAAAAAAACACCAACAAAACAAGAAACAAAGTTTCACTTCTTCAACAGAATAGCTCACATATATGCAAGTCAGGTTCTTTGTATTTCATGTTATTTATACAAGCTTTTCCTTTTGAAACACCTGTGGAGTTAGGAGTTTTCCCTCCCCTTCTTTCGTAGTTCTAAGCAAACGGTGGGATGTGGCAGGAACTCTGGCACACCTGTCCAACACTTAGGCTGCTTTCCGTAATGAAAAACAAAATGAAAACGAAGCAGTCCTCTTTACAACGTAAGCTGAAAGGCCACTGCTGACTCTTTACAGTATGATTTCTCTGAGGTGATCCAGTGTTGCTGTGATGAGCTGTGATGTTCAGGACCGCAGATGAATCTTGTTGTTCTTGCTGCTTCGCACACAAGGTTGTTCAAAAGAAGAACTTTGTGAAATGCCTCAATTTGTGTCGAAAGGCCCGGCAGTCTTTTTTGTGTGCAAGCGGATATTTTCTGGTGGCCGATAGGAGAGGGAGCTCATTTTGGTTGTGAGGCTTGGATGTGTGCTGACGTTCGGTGGGATGTATTTTATTAGCTGAAGGAAGTATTTTTTTAAGTTTTTTCCAAAAAAAACATAAAAAAAAGGATTTAGACAGTTGTTGAAGTAAGCGATACAAATGGTGAAAGGCATAGCTGTATCCACAATATCAGTGATTTTGCAATCTGTTATTACGTGTAATTGAATCAACACATCCAGAAAAGTGAACACTTGATGAGGAATCCAGGAAAAGAAAAAGAAAAACACAATTGCTACAATCATCTTGAAGATATCATCATTTCTAGTCTTATTTTTTTGAATTTGATATGCCTTCTTCAGAGTCTTCCAAATTAAGGTGTAGCTTGTTAATATGATCAGAAAAGGAACTAAAAAGCCCAGCAAATTTTTGGATAAACCCAGCCCGACCCGGAGCGTCGTGTTATTGCTCTCGTAGCGAAACCCGCAGACCGTCATGTTGAGGTTCTCAGCAAAGAAGATGTTGCGGTGGATGATGACGGGCAGGCTGGCCACGCCGGCCAGCAGCCAGATGGCGATGCAGGTGACGCGGGCCACGAACACGGTGCGGCGGATGCGCGACTGCACCGGGTGCACGATGGCCAGGTAGCGGTCGATGCTCAGGCAGGTGAGCAGGAACACGCTGGCGTACAGGTTGAAGCTGATCCCCGCCGAGGCCAACTTGCACAAACAGTTGCCAAAAGGCCACTGGTACTCCATGGCCGTGTAGGCTGCCCAGAGGGGCAGAGTTATCAAAAAACACAAGTCAGCCAGTGCCAGGTTGAGAAGAAAGATGCTGGCTACCGTTTTCAGTTTCATGTAGCAGTAAATGACAATCACCACCAGGCTGTTCCCAAATATGCCTATGATAAAAATGATGCTGTAAACGGTTGGAACCATAATGTAGATGTAGCTGTGCCTTCCTGAAACAGGACAGTCCACGTGGATTCTTTTAACAGTTTCTTCAGTAGAGTAATTTGGAATCATCTTGAACTCTTCAGCTGTAATGTAATTGCAGGGAGAAAATATGAAGCTCACACCTAAGACGGGAAAAGAGGAAAAAAACAGTATTTGTGATAGGGATTTAATTTTTAACAATTCTCAACTAAATGTCAAGTTTTTTGTCATGTCTAACACAATGTGTCAATGTCTTTGAATTTTAAAATAAGCCATCTTCAATTTTATCAACCAATTTATAATTCAATACAGACTTTGCAGGGTAAAACAGAGGTAGGAATGTTAGGAGTAGGCTGAACATTTTTAGATTCTTTTCAGCATACATGAAATCTAAAAAACCTCTTTCAATTAACTAAGTTCCAATTTAAATAATAATGGTTAGTGAACATATGTAAAAAAATAATTAGAGAGACTGAAAATAGCAAATAACTATAAATTCAGTGGAGTATTTAGATTTTCTTTCCATAAATAGGTGACATATTTAAGGAGATAAGTTATTCAGATATCTCAGAAATGAAACTTAAGCACTCTGAATACTAATTAAGTATGTAAAATACAAACTGCAATGAATTAAGAAAATAAGTGACTTTAGGTACTCATTTGTATCTCTGAGATTAATCACTAGAATATTTTTTTATACATTGAACCTATTTCTTTGAGAAAATTCTTACATCACAGAGAAAGAAGAAAATGCATAATTTAGTATTCTGTTGTACCAAAACTACCTTAAATATTCAGAGGTTACTTAGCTCCCCATCTGGCTTGGAACTATGGCATTTAACTAGTAGTGAGGGGGAAAAAAAATCTGAAAATCCAGACATGTCCTGATCTCTTGTGCCTTAATAACTGTACAAAGAATTTAAGAAGGATGCAAGGCAGAACACATTACTTTTTCAATTGCTGACAAAATTTATGTATCCAAGAGTTGAAGTTGCATTTCTGGATCATATTTAGAGCTCAGCAAGGGTATGAAGTCTCCTTTCAAGAGGGCATCTGCTTGGTTTGCCAAGGCCTGTGTGTTCTGCGAGAATAATTTCTTTTTTAATGACTAATTACTTTAGAAAGCTTACACTGTAAGTGACTTGAATACTCATTACTTTCTAGAGTCTAAAACCAGATAGTCCTCCCTGAAAAATAATTTGATTAAAAAAAAATCATAGATTTTATTGCAGAGTAGTGTTTGTTGCTGTTTGCAAGATCCAGCTATAAGCCAAACCTAACTTGAGCTGCTTAAAACAAAGATTAACTGAAATACTTTGGCTTCAAAACCAAAACAAAGCAAACCCCAAGCAGCAAAGAAACCCTTTATAAATGTAAGACCAGCCTAAGACCCTGGGCAGTATGGGTGCACTGAGGAAGCAGAGATGCCCATCATTACAGACACACCAGTGATGTCACAGATGCGGCTGCTCGTTATTTGAGTGCTCCAGCACTAATGTTCCTTTTAAATTCAGAATGCCATGGAGTTTAGTGTTTGACTGGCTCTTGTTGAAAGGCAAATCTTTTTACAACTGACTGCATTTTTAACAGGGAAGTGAGGCACAGATTTGTTTCAGCAAAGCCCACACAGGTAGTCTGAAGGAGCCAGGAACTGAACCCAGAATATGGGCTGCAGGCAGCATCTTGTGAGCATGGTCACCCTTTGGCTCTCAGCCTTTTGTAGACTTGTTATCTTAGCTCATGTTGTAGCATACGTTTGCATTCATAACCTGATTCACTTCTACAAAGCTAGCAGGGTAATGTCAAGATTTAGGTTCTTGATAATTCTATCAAGTTTAGAGTACCTAGTAAAATGCAGCTAATAGACACTTTGTCAAGATGTGCTGTGCAACACTTCTCAGTTCCTTCAATTCATTCTGTGTATTTGTCTTATTGATTCAGTTGGTATGGATGCCTCAAAATGACATGAGCTATTTTTGCCAAGTTTAAGAAATGAACAAGTCAAACAAATAGAGCCAACACAAAGAAAGGTTCACCATCTGATCACATGTGGCATTCTAGTACATCCCAAGTAAAACCTGGCTTTTAAAATGTGTCAAATCTCAAATACAGGGTGTTTGGCTCTGTGGAAGGTCAGCTTATCCCTAGGACAGGGACACCACAATAGAAAGATTTCAAGATAAATCCTTCTATATCATCCCTTGCTTATGAAAGTAACTTTGACAGTAACTGATATGTTCTGCAACATCAAGTCTGGCAACATTTGCCCTATCCTGGCTACAGGCTGGTGCTGCATGGTCTTTGCTCCCTTATATACTCACTAAAATTACAGCCAAGAACTTTCCAGTAAGAATCTGGAGTGAAGTTTCTGCTTGGGAGATCACCTGTGCAAGTTTGACTGGCAATAATATGGATCAGGCCTGGTGTAATGCTGGGCAAGACCTTTCTCAGTGACAAGACTCACCAGTCCCTGGTACAATTTGGCTCTGTGTGTGCTGAGTGACAGATTCAGTGTCTAAGGCAAATACAGCTGAGGGTGAATATTCCCTTTTGGTGGGGTTGATTCTGTGCAATGTTAGATGCCAAGGCAATTTTCCCATGGTCTCCTCACACACTCCTTCAGTGTACTGCATTGTGTTGTTTTGCTTCCAATTTCCCTTTTCTACCCACATGGTGACCTGTACTGTTTCATGTCTGTAATAGCTTTAGCTGATACTAATTAATAGCATATGTTCTTTCAAGAAAGAGTAACAGTGATTCTATTACGTTTTCAGAAATGTGTTAAAATAAACAAAAAATAATTCAGTTGGGAATAATTGTCTGGTACTCTGAGGTATTGAATTGTCTGCACATATTCTGGAGTGCTTGGGAACTAAAAAAAAGGCAGAACAATTCCTATGAAGAATGAGGAATTTTGTCAAGAAATAGTATTATACCTCAATCTACCTCTAGTGTGTAAGCCTTCTGGAGGTAAAAGGCTTTGGTGTAAGACTGAAGTCAGTGGAATTGTGCAAATGATGTTTCTGGTATGCTACCACTTTTAAATTGCATTAAGGAATTAAAATCAGTAAATAAAATAAATCCATCAATATTTTCAGTAAATGATGAGGAAGCAGAAATACATAACGTGGTTGCTTTTGGGTAAACACATATGAATTGCCATCTGGGTATCTGGAAACAGTCTGAACATTGCTGTGAGAATGAACCTCACAGGAGCTGTACATATGAAGCACACTAAGGAAGGCACTGCTAATTTCCTGGAAATTATAAAGTTTCAGAGCTAGCCTTAGGTGGATCTGCTTCCTTGAGCACAACTGTAACTTCAGAGCATTAGGAAAAGCTTCAAAGTTGGTGAAGGTAATTTTTTTTGGAAGGCATGGCCCATGGCTGTGCTGAGTAGTGTGAGATGGCCATTGCAGCGATGTGAATTCCTCACAGGCAGTGGTTTCTTTCCAAGTTTTTCCTGTTACTCTCACTTGCCACAGTTCATCTGCTTGTCCCATTGTCCCAGGATCATGGCTGCACACATGCAAAGAAGATACTGCCCAGTTAAATGCATCTGTTGAAGTTGTGCACATCAATAATTCCATGTAAAGCATCTCAAATGACCTGTGTTAGCATAATGATAATTGGATCATTTTAAGGCTGACACACAAGGTGCTTTTTCTAATGGGATTGAATTGTGACTGTGAGTGGTGTGGTGGCATCAATCTCAAATTATCTGGTGAGAAGCAAGTACCTGTTCTGAGGTACTGTCCTGTTTGACCTTTTATCTTTTAAAATTACAATGATTACTATAAGTCACTGATAATTAAATTCTTCAGCCTGCTCAACCAACTTTTATTTACCACTCCATTCATTGCTTTTGTTGGGTGAATATGCATCCTAATTAAACTGCCTGTGGAAAAAAGGAATGCTGGGTTCATGCAAGGTAAACAGCACTTTGCCTGCTGAAAGATAAGGAAGCAGTGGCTTTGGCTTTCTGTGAGAACTTCTTTAGCTAAAAATAGGTAAGCAGGTGTCACAAGTCAGATTTTGAACAAAAATGTACTTAATATTTGCTTTGACAAAGACTAAATAAACTGAGGCTGACCAATCATGCCACAGCTCAGCCACCTTATCACTAGGTAATGTGCACTTTCCTTCTTCTGACAGTGGGTGGGTTATTTGCTTTTCTTACAAATGAGAAGATAGTTCCATGTTTAAGAGGATACTGCATTCTATTTTTATGTAAATTTTTTGCACAGGGAGAAAAGAGAATAAAAAAATGTTTGGAACAATATGTTCAGTATATTAGCTATATTTATTTATTTCTGGTGACATAAACTTTCCTTTATCTTAAGAATTTAGTCCCCCCCTTTCCTAATTTATTCTAACAGCTGAGAAAGTAATGACACTTACACACACTCTATTGCAAAGGCTTTTAGGGTCTTTTTCTAGCCACAGAGTAACCCTTTCTATCCTCATGGTCTTAGTGAGTAGAGCTACTTGTATTTCACACCCACACTTCAGCACCTTCTGTGCTTTCCTGGAGTTCCTGAGCAGTACTATTGTGAAGCTATAGATTTATCTTTCTCCTAGCTCTTATTTCTTCAGCTAGTTCTAACAGTCTATATTTCCCACTGATGGCTTTCCTAAATATCTTTAATCCAGAGTTGATAGATGGATTGTGAAGGCAAAGAAAAATACAAACAAGGGTACATAATTCAAACTGTGCCATTAGAGTGGGCTCTTGTCATCACTGCCAGTACCTTCTACAGAGGTCAGCGTCTGACTTAGTGGTAAATGCCAATAAATCAAAATACCACTGGAAAGGAACAGTGATAGATAGTATAGCACCAGACACTGTCTGTACATCAGCTCACAAACACCAAGAACACAAAGCAAACCTCAGCAGAGCTGTGTTAGCAGCTGTCAAGCTGTTCTGCAATTTTGGATCAGGAGGTGGTCTGACATCAGAACAAACAGAACTTGCAGGACCTTGTACTGGCCTTAGCATTTTCTTCTAACAACTGAGGCAACTGCCAGTCTTTTGAAATTGCTGTTAATTTTGTGATGTTTGCTTTATTTTTTATAAGTATGTATCTTTTTAATGCTCTCATCTATTCGTGGATTCTTTGTGCCTTCCCCTTGCAAGAGCTCA